ACAAGCAATGTGCCCTTTTCTTTTCTATTCATTCTATTTCACAACCGACTGATTTGTTCTCACTACCCTCTAATGGGTTGCAAACAGTTTGAAAAGCACTTCTTCCACATTCACTTGTAATCAAAGAAGCATGCACAGGGCTATTGGCAGGATGTTTTTCTCTCAACAGGGAAGTGGATAAATGAACTGGGTGCGTCTGTCTCAGGGATGAATAAGCAGTGGTTAAAATGAATGAGATCTGTATGCGTCAATGTAAAACGAGCTCAAAAACATAGAGTTAAGTGAAAGACGAAAGTTAGAGTAATAGCTATAAAATGATAGCATTTACATAAATTTTCAAACCCATTAAGCAATATTATAATGCTGTTCTGGACATATATGTAGTAAAATATAAAAACAACATCTAGAAAGTCCCCACTAACTCATGGTGATAACTAGTTCCCTGGGGCAGGAGATGCAGGAGGAAGTCACATGGGTGTCAACTGTAATGCTCTCACCTTTTCTACATTCAAATATTCTGAAGCAATTATGACAAACTGCTAACATTTATTCATTCAGGTGGTGGATACCTGAAGGCTGAGAACAATCCAGTCAAGCAAAGACCGGAAGGAAGAATGATCCAGGCCCAAAACCCAATGCAAAGGCCTTGAGGTCACCATGGCATGTTCCAGGAACAGCAGCAGCCAGGACTGTGGGGTGAGGTGGGGAGAGGTTAGGAGCGAGGTTGGTAAACAATGTGGATTTTGGGTTTTAAGCAGGGAAGTAAGTTTATCAAACTTACACTGTTGAATATATCATTCTGGTTGGGCAAAATACATCATTTTGTTAACTATTGAAAATGAGTGATGAACAGATTCGTGGAGGGTTATTGTACTAATCTCTTCTTTTGTATGTGTTTGAAGTTTTCCATAAACCGAAGGAAAATAATGATTACCTCTGGCTACTGTGGGGAAAATGGACTATGGGTGGGGGCAAAGAGGGAAGCCGGGAGGCCAGGGAGGAGGCCACCTCATGGGTCTGGGTGAGAGGGTTAGGTGGATGGTTCCAGAGTTATGGAGGTGGACGGGAGAAGCTACAGGATTTGCTAGTGGACACAATATGGGACCAGAGGAAAGTGGCTGGGGCTGTGCCCCTGGTTGCAGAATGGTTCGGGTGTCTGCAGAGACAGGAGCACGAGGAGGGGCAGGTTTGAGCACAGGGAGAAGGAAAGCTGGGTCTGGGCACATTGTCAGGAGGAGCCCACAGGCTCCGGGCTCCAAAGAGAGGTGTCAGGAGGATTCCAGAGTTCAGGGCTGGGAGTCACCACTGGTGCATCACTGACTATCAATAGCATTTAACATCACGGCACCAGATGAGATCACCTGAGAAGTGGGTGTAGCTAGAGAAGAAAAGGGCCCAGGACGGAGGTGGGGGTGGGCGGAGGCAGCAAAGGAGACAGGAGAAGCAGCTTCTGGGGCAGGAAGAAGCTGGAAGGCAGGGAAATTGCTGTCTTGTCCCTAAAACCCCACAACCAGACCCCCCAAGGCAGCCCCCCAAGGCGCCCTAAGGCTGCTCAGGACTCCAGCTCCTGCCGAAGAATCCCCCCAGCCTCAGAACTTTCCCACCAAGACCGCTCTCCACACCGCCCTCTGGGGCCATCTTTGTACAATGCCATTGGCTGTAAGCCCCTGTCACTCACACGGTTAGAAACCAAGTCCCAGCCTGGCGGCCACGCGCCCTCTGACCTGGGTCCCGCCCACGGCAAAGGAAAAGAGAGACACAGGGAGACAAGGCCCAAAGCTAGCCTAACCAGGGCTTTGTGAGGACACAAAAATGCCTGAGCGGCCATCACCATCTTGTGACCAGGAGGAGCCGACAGAGCAAACGCACAGCAGAGCAGATGGGGGAATGGAGGATGGGTCTTCGTGAAACTGGTTGCCGCCAGGCCAGCCTTGGTACTGGAAGCCTCTGGCTTCTTGTAAGAGGAAATAGCAAACCCCTACTCTTTAAACCACCTTGGACTGGGTTGCTGACACTGACACTTGCCCTCAGACATATCCTGACTGACCCCCATGTCCTCACACAGGCACACACCCCCAGCCGGGCACACCGGGGCCCTGAAAGCCATGCTCCCTCCAGAACTCATGCCTACTCGCCATCTTGCCTGACACGGCTTCACCCTTTTCCAGTTGACCCTTGTCTGCTCACCCTGGCTGCAGGATGACTCACCTCTTCTCAGTCCCCAGCAGCCCTTGGCCTGTACTTCTGTGAGATGAGACAGGTTTGAAATACAAACCCCTGCTTTAACTATCCCTTGTCACCCCAAAGTGTTTTCTGTTACCCAAGCCCTCTCCCCATTCTGGCAGCAGGTGGACTGGGTGGTGTCCGTCATCCCAGGGGAGGGTCATTTTCAGCAACAGACACAGAAGAGCCTTTTGGGCCCCAAATCTTGGGACCTAAGGGGCGCTTAGAGGAAACAAATGGTGTTGAAGAGTCAGACACAGGCCTCATCCTGGGCTCTGGAGAGGAGCAATGGACTGGGCTTAGAGCGGGAAGTGGTGGAGCCTGGGGTCCACACCTGCCAGGGATACAGCAGCATGCCAAGACCACTAGACCCCACTGGTGTCCCCATGGCAGGTCTCGTCCTCCAGCCAGACCCAGGAACCGTGGCTATAGGAACCATGTTAGTGCTCACAACCCATGCAGTACCCAGTCAGCGAGCAGAGTACACTGAGGGCTACAAAAGCAGGCCCCCTGGGACCTCCTCCTGGAACAACACCAGCCACCTCTGATGGTCCAACAGCATGGCCTTTACTGGGGCTGTCACCTTACTGGGGCTGTCCACCTTACTGGGTCTGTCACCTTACTGGGGCTGTCCACCTTACTGGGGCTGTCACCTTACTGGAAGCATCACTCCTATTACAGCATTCTTCCACATCATCAGGCCCACCCACACCAACCCTGGCAAAGCAGTGGTCCCAGGCGCTAGACAGGGAGTCCAGGAGGCCTTAGAAGAAAAGACACTCCTCCCCATGTCCCTCACTAGAATGGGGTGGGGTGAGGCTTATTTCTGACTCATCTGGATGACTCGAGGTCCTAGCAGACAAAAAGTGCATGATAAATATTTATTAGCCCTAACAGTTACTAAAGGGAAAGGGACTGGGGAGGATGGGTGGGAAGGAAGGGATAAGGGGGAAAAAGGGGCATTAGTATTAGCAGACATAATCTAGGGGGGTCATGGGGAGGGGGTACAACACAGAGAAGACAAGTAATGATTCTATAGCATCTTACTACGCTAATGGACAGTGACTGTAATGGGGTATGTGAGGGGGACTTGACGATGGCAGGAGTCTTGTAAACATAATGTTGCTCATGTAATTGGACATTAATGATACCAAAATAAAAATAATAAAAGATAAAAATATATTTATTTATTTATTTATTAGCCCAAATGTTATATGAGGCTGCAGAGACGTGGCCTATGACATGGATGTCAGTGGGCTGAGCTAGCCCCACCCTGGGCCTCCTGGCCTCATTCACCTTCCAGTGATGGTTCAGAAGTGGCCATGTGACTCAGTCTGACCAATGGTTTTGTGAAGGAATAAACTTAGTTGGCCTGTTTTTTGCCCTTTCCCCTTTGTCCCATCAGGAGGTGATGCAGCCATGACGTGGTGACAGACAGGAGGACAAAGGCCTACAACACAAAGGGAAGATGACAAGAGAGAGACTGGGCTCCTGATGGCATAATAGAGCCCCAGACCTTACCACCCAGTCTTGGCTTCCTGTATTAGGCCTGTAAACCTCTCTCTGTTCAAGCCACTGCTGTGCAGGTGTTCTGTTCTGTACAAACTGGACCCAATAGATTCATAATGTGCTCAGAGTACATCTTTGGACTAAGACAGATTTGGGTTTGGATCTTGACTGGTGACAGCTGAGATCTGGGTTTCTCTCACCAGCTCTACTCCCCCAAAACTGCTCTTGCCAAGGTCCTCTCCCATCCTGTAATATAGAGGGTCCTCAAGCTGGATCCTGAGCCCTCTCCTCTTCCCTTTCTCTTCTCTTTCTGTACATCTCAGCTATACCAGCTGCCTCAGTCACCACTTGTCATACTCATGACCCTGAACTGTCTCCATTCTGAGCTCAACAAACTTCCGGACACCTCAAAGTCAACATCTCCAAACTGTCAATATCCTCTGTGCCCCAAACCTGCTCCTCCTCCTGGGCCTCCCTGCCATGAATGGCACCTCCAAACCCAAAGGCTCAACTCCTGACATCTTGCTTCCACACACCACACACTCTCAACCATCAAAACTCTGCCACTTCTACCTCCTAAATATCTAAAATTCATCCACTCCTCTCCACAGCTCTATCAAACTTTCATCCCCTACAAGGGTTCTCTGGATTAGTGCCAGGTGCCCCCTCTCCCTGCCACCTTCCAGCAATCTGATTCCCGTCCAGAAGTCTGGGGTGGGGCTCAAGGATTTGAATTTCTAACAAGCTCCTTAAAGCCAGCCCTGGAGTAATCCAAGCTAATGACACTAACCAGATATTGCAGGTCTGGACTATACAAGGCTCCCTCCTCTGTCCAATACGGAGCCCACAAGCTGCAGGTGACTATTTAAATTATTAAGACAAAATGAATTTTAAAATTCAGTTCCTCAGCTGTACCTTTCAAGTGTTCAACTGCCACTTGTGGCTATTATCTGCCATATTGAACAGGTGCATTACAGAACATTTCCATCAACATAGAAAATTCTACCGCACAGCGTTGCATAGACTTTAGTGAGCGTTCTAAAAATGAAGGCTGAGTCTATGTCCCTCCCTTGCCCATAAGAATTCAGAGGCTCCCAAAGGACCTCGGGAGCGGCGAGAGTACAGAGATGTCCTTAATCCCAGGAAACCTCAGGCGAGCCTGGATCTTCCAGGCTGGAGGAGGGTCAAGAACTTGGAACTCATTGGCTGGTGGTGGAGGGGCGGCTGCCTGCGCTTTCCTTTGATTGGGTATTTTCTTTCAGCGGAGAGCCAATCATCGAGGACGACGGGGACAGACTCCGGCTTGCGGCACAGGTCCCGCCCCGAGTTCCGGGAGCCCACTGACCCTGCGGTCTGATCCTTGGTGAGGGTAGGCTCCCCGCCGCTTTAAAGACCCCTCCAACCCAGACGCCGGCTCTCCGCTGCAGGGGTGGGGGTGAGGTGAGGGCAGGTCCTCCCTCCCGCCGCGCGGAACACTCCTTCCCCAGCCCGGAACCCCTGGTGTCCAGTCTCGCCCCCTCTGGGTTCAGTGTCCCTGCCTGTGAAGTGGGATTGCGCTGGTGGTCTGGAGAGGCCGCATCCAGCCTCCTCTGCTGGGCATGGCGGGTAGGAGAGGAGGGTCGGGGCAGGGGGAGATTGAGGTGGGCCTCAGGACAAAGGCCTTGTCCCCACAGGAGGATGGCTCATGAGGAGGGCTGGAGCTTGCGCGAGGTGCGGGCGCGCGTGGGGGCCTCGCACGGTATCACCGACCTGGCCCACAAGCTGCACTTCTATGACCAATGGGCCCCGGACTATGACCAGGTAAACTGGGCCTGAGTCCTGGCATCCACCTTCCTGGCTTGCCCAGCCTCAGTCTTCCTATCTGTAAATCGGGAATAGTCAGCGCTGCATCCGAGGACGGCCGTGAGGATGAACTGAGACCGTGACGCAGCCCTGCAGACTTGTTTTTCTGCACTGGCCACCTTTCTGCCCCTTCACTCCACTCCCATACCAGACCTGCCCTCTGACCCACCCCATCACTCCCCAGTGGCTTAGATCATTTCTAGAGATCAGGACTGCAGCCAAGGCAGAGGGGCTACCTGGAGGAGATGCCATTGGCAGCTCTCCAGGCCTGGTCCCTGAACAGGGGAAAGAAAGCCCCTCTTGACTGGATCTCTTCTCACTGTAGTCGCAGCAGGGCCCAAGCCCCGAAAACACACACACAAACACACAGCTTGACCTGGCTGATTCCAGCTCACCCCACATGGAAGTCCCCCAAACAGTGGGGCAGAGGGTGGCAGCTGGCTCAGCACTCTGTCCCCAGGATGTGGCTGCCCTGCAGTACCGTGCCCCCCGCCTTGCAGTGGACTGCCTCACCCAAGCCCTACCAGGCCTGCCCCTTGATGCCCTGATTCTGGACGTGGCCTGTGGCACCGGCCTGGTGGCTGCTGAGGTGAGGTCTCCCTGAGTCCCCTGACCTCTCTTCAGCCCACTATTTGCTCAAATTTCCTACCACCATTGGCCCCAGTACTCTGTCTCACCCCATAGACTCACTAGTCCCAAACACTTGAGCTACATCCCCACAGGGCCTGCTGCCTTCTGGGGTGCAGGGACCCAGCTGGGAGGTGGCAGGTATGAGCTGTGACTTGAGTTCCCACCCCAGCTGCAGGCTCGGGGCTTCCTCCAGCTGCATGGGGTGGATGGGAGCCCAGGGATGCTGGAACAGGCCAGAGCCCGCGGTCTCTATCAGCGCCTCAGTCTCTGCACCCTGGGCCAGGAGCCTCTGCCCAGCTCTGAAGGTACTTCCCCACCTACCCCAATACCCCAAGACACACCTCCTGACTAAGCCCACCTTCCTGGGGCCCCCTTCTCTTGTCCAATTTCCATCTTCCTTGCCCAGCTGTCAATGAACTCCCTCTCACACTGAGGCCCCTGTTGCGTTGCTGGGACCTTTGCTGAGTTCCCATGAGCCCCCTCTCTGAGCCCTCCATCCCAGGATCTGACCACACCAGGAAACTGTGCCACACCTGCCATATCCCCCAGCTGCAAGTGGCCATCCTGCTCCCTCCCCAAGCCCTACCATGGATACCGTCCTCCAGGATGGTCTGAGGCCACATGGAAGACATGCCACCCCACCACCACCCCCCACCCCACACACAGGATCCTTTGATGCTGTGCTGATGGTGGGTGCCCTTAGTGATGGCCAGGTGCCCTGCAGTGCAATACCTGAGCTCCTGCGAGTTACCAAGCCAGGTGAGAAGCAGCCTGTCCAACCCACCCACACACCTTCCCTCCTCCACACCTGTAGACACAAGCTTCAGAACCACTCAGGCCAAGCGAGGAGCAGGGTCCTGCCCAGGGTCACACAGCCTGGCATCCTGCCCACCAACTGCCAGCCCAGGGGTTGGCCTCAGAGGCCACAGTCAACAAATGCAAGCAAAGAGGCCATGTAGACAGGTGGCCAGTCACCTCTTACCTGTTGGACAGCTCTTCTCTCCTCTGGAGCCCCTGTTTCCTCACCTATAAGCAGAGTGGCATAGTCCCTTCCCCAGAGGATTGCACTAAAACTGGGTAAAATGATGTCTCTAAGGCCTTTGCTTCCATACTGGCATGTCGTAGGGGCTCAGCCACATTCTCTCATCTTCCAGCTTCCTCACTAACTCATGCATAGCTGTCAGGTGTCTTTCTCTTTCCTGGTCTCAGTTTCCTCATCTGTGAAATGGACCTACCCAGATGAGACGCTAGCTGTAAGCACTTTGTGTAAACTCCACAGGTGTGGCTGGTGTGCAAGTGAGGATTGTGTTCTCTGCTCTCCTGTTCTCCTACCCCATGCCTTGCCCTGGGTTTGCCTTTGCCCCGGGGCAGAGATGCAAGCGCTGCCCTCTGGGCCTCCATCACCAAAGGAGCCTGGGGGAAAAGGCCAGGCCAGAGGTGGGCCCTTGAGAGCCACGCGTTCTCAATGCCCTAAGAATTCAGAGAAGAGAGGCCTTTCCAAGGCTGGGAGGGGAGCCAGGGCGGTCTACACAGAGCACAGCCTAAGTGAGGCCATGGAAAGGACAATGGCAGATCATGTGGCACTGATCTGGATGCAGGACAGGATCAGGGAGTCCCAGAGGTGCCCCTCTTGCAGCAGAATGTCTTCTCTCTGCTCCCGTCCCTCCCACTGGGTCCAGCAGGGGCTGTGGCTAAGCCTGGGCAGGTTTCAGCCTCGGGGGACCATGGAGGTAGACAGATGCAGGGGTATTGGTGGGGTGAGAGAGCAGGGCAGTGATTGGGCTCAGGAGGGCAGGAAAGTCCCATGGACAGAGGCAGTGAGGACCAGGCCTCCCAGCCCAGCCTCTGCTTGTCAGGCCCCCTTAGCCAGCCAGAGCCCAGTCTGTGTGCCCACATGACCAGACTCCCCTGCTTCAGAGCCCTTCCTCTCTGCCAGGGTCCCCCTCTGCCTGGAGTGCCCTGCATCTCACCCCTTCCTCCAGGAAACCTTCCGGAAGGTCTACTGTTCTCTCCCAAGTGTATCTGAGCCAGCAGCGGGTGAACTGTAGGTGTCTGGAGAGAACTTGAAGAGATGAGGGCATTCCGTCATTCAGCCAGTGCTGACTGACTGTGCCAGCCTTCCTGTGAGACAGGGTGACCAGCCCCACTCTGCAAGCTGGGAAACTGAGACTCAGATAGGTGAAGGGACTCACCTATGGTCCAAAGCCCATGTGCTGCCTTCCTGTTCATCCAGACATAGCCAGCCTACTCCCCAGCTGAGGGACTGGGCCAGCAGTGAGGAGGGTGCCCCCTTTATTGAGGGGATTAAGTCAAGAATTCCCAGCATTAAGGATCCATGGGCCTTGAAGGGTGTGTAGGAGTCCAGCAAGCCGAGGAGAGTATTCCTGGAAAGAGAACAGTAAGCACCAAAGCCTGGAGATGGGAAAAGGCTGGCCTGGGACAAAGCCAGGAGAACTTATACCCTTGAGCATATGAGCAGGGGGGCCAGCACCTGGAAGGTAGCGTCTGTCCCTCCTCCACTCACCTCCTCCTCCCCCACCACTTCCCAGGTGGGCTGGTGTGTCTGACCACCAGGACCAATGCGTCCAACCTTCAGTACAAGGAGGCACTGGAGGCCACCCTGAATAGGTTGGAGCAGGCCGGGGCATGGGAACGTCTGGTGGCCTGGCCTGTGGGCTGCTGGGAACTGGCCACTTCAGCGTTCGAGGTGGTGCCTGGCACTTCTGACGGTGATCGCTTCATCTCCGGCATCATCTACCTGTACCGAAAGCAGGAGGTGGCCCAGGTTGAGGGAGTGGGGCCCAGTCCCCAGCCCCTGGCTGGCCTCTGACCCTGCATGTGGCCTCAGCCAGGCCTCCTCCACTTCGTCTGTAAAATTGGGCCACTGCACCACCCTGTATGAGAGCTCTGCCTATTAAATGAGTCCCAAGGGTAGGCAGCACTCTGCCTCCGTGTTTCTCTTACTCCTGGGGAGAGTGACATATTTTCTGTCCTGAGAAGGACAGAAGTGAGAAGACACAGGATGGAGGCCCCACCCACAGATGTGGCTTTTCCAGGGCCTCTCACTCTAACTCCCAGACTAGGCCAAGCCCACCACGAGTCTTGGCACTTTCACATGGATTTGGTTTCCTCCCTAAAGGGTCAGGGCTCCACGCTCAGGGTGTGCCTTGGAGACTAGGCAGGTGAAAGGGCTCTGATGACTGTCAGCACCATGGGGACCAAACAAGGCTGATGATAACTCTCCCAAACAGGCCTCATGCAGGGGGAGGTTCAGAACTGGGCAGGCAGGCTTCAGAGAGGTAGAGAAGGGGAAAAGGACATTCAGGCCGAGGGCAGGAACAGCCTGAGCAAAAGCCAGAAGGTGGGACCTGGACAGCGAGCAGACTAGCCTGGCTGCCCGAACAACGCTGCCACAGTGGGAGAGGGCAGGTGGCCATTCCCGAGGGTTGGGTGTCCTCCTCTGTCCTCCCTCCTGGGGCGCCCTGCATTTCATCCCCATCCTGGGCACACAGTATGTTTCCTGTGTCCAGACTTCACCCTCTCCCAAATGAAGGGCTTGACCAAGGTGACTTCCAAGGTCAGGGCAGTTCTAATTTTTCACAGTTCCCAGGACCAGTTTCTTAAGTGTTCCTGTCCTGGTCACAACACAGGGATACTGGCCCCCTGGCCAGGCCTCCAGCCCTGCGTGTCCCACTTCCACAGCTGAAGTCAGAAACGATACAGTCTCCTGTGCACAGGTTCCATTTATTGTAGAAAATAATACTAATTACCATGATGAATAGATCTTACTAAATTACAAACAAACCAGAGGAAGCAGGGAAAAGCCCCAGGACTTCCTGGGATGTGGGCCAGAAAAAGACCATTCCCCATTCCTCCCCAGGCTGGCCAATGACCTCAGCAGGGGCTGCAGATACACAGATGGCCAGTGTCAGGGGGCCCGGGGTCTGTCCACTGAGGCTGCTGAGACCCAGCTGTGAAGCTGCAGGGTGGGGTGGAAAGGGTGTAGGCAGCCTGGGCTGTCTCTTTGTCCCCCTCCCCCACCACTACCCAAACCAGTTTGTAGCACCTTAACCCCTCCCCCCAAACCTGTCCATCAACTCTCTGTCAACACTGTGCTCCATGGGAGGGTGGGTGAGCGAGGTCCTGGCCATACTCATAGGCCACAGGTTTCCATGGGCAAGGCCGAGCCTGGGTGCTTGCTGACCCACCCAGAGGATGCAGACAGCGTTCGTGGGGACAATCAAAGAGAGAACAGGGACCAACATGGGCATGGGCAGGGCACCCACTCAGAGGCAGAGCCCAAGCCAAGTCAGGGCTGCACTGTCTTGGCCAGCAGGCGCTAGCTCAGCCGCCACACCCTGTTGCTTCCACCCCCCTCTCCTGTAGCCTCGGCCTGTCAGAGGAGGGTGGGACGGGAGTTGCTTTCTGTCCATCCTTGCTGGTGTAGAGCAGGCCTTGGGAAGGTGTCCATGAGGGCCAGAAGGAGCTGAGAGCTGCCGGCCAACAACCTGGCTCAGTCCCTGCTTGCCCAGCCCCCCTTTCCCGCAGCAGCCTGCATCTGTGGCAGGGCCATCCTGGGGGTCACAGGCTGTGCTGAGCTCGGTCCAGGGAGAAACAAAGCCAATGGTGAGCTGAACGGTGGTACCTTACACGTAGTTGCTGGTGGGGGCGGAGCGGGCAGCAGAATACTTGGCCGAGTAGGGCTTGTTGGTACGGGGTGGGCAATTGCAGCAGAGCAGAGCCCCACCGAGCATCAGCAGGCCCGAGGCTGCCCAGCCGATGTAGAGTGAGGCACCCATCTCCCGCTTCTGGCCCGAGGCCACCAGGGGGTTGTAGAAGTCGCGGATGATGTTGTGGGCCGTCCAGGACACAGGCACCATCATCAACAGGCCGGCCAGCAGGAATACAACTCCCGCCACGATCATGGTCTTGGCCTTGGCACTCTCATCCTCCACACAGTTGGTGCACTTGCCACCCACCACAGACATCAGCACGCCCAGCACGGCCACAATGATGCTGATGACGATGAGGGCACGGGCCGCCTGCAGGTCCTGCGGCAGCGCCAGCAGCGAGTCGTACACCTTGCACTGCATCTGGCCGGTGCTCTGCACCACGCAGTTCATCCACAGGCCCTCCCAGATGGTCTGCGATGTGACAATGTTGCTGCCGATGAAGGCCGTCACGCGCCACATGGGCAGCGCGCAGCTAAGTATGGCGCCCAGCCAGCCCAGCACGGCCAGAGCTATGCCCATTACCTGTAGCCCCATGGAGGCCATCGTTCCACGTCTCCTGGTGTCTACGACCTGGAGGGCTATGGGGATCTGGCCCTGGAGGCTGCAGAAATCCAAGCACAGAGGATGGACCCTTGGTGGACACGGGGGAGGCCTTTCACTGTGAGTCCCAAGTCAAAGACAGTCAAGTCAGCCACCAAGTGCCTCTTCCTCTCCGAGTCAGAAGCCAAAGGGTGTCTCTCCTGAGAGTCAGAAGCACAAGCCAAGCGAGTGTGACCAGGCGAGCTCCTGCTCTCAGACTAAAGATCAGAGCAGTTATAGGGCTCTGCAGGGGGCGGGGGCAGAGGGAGGGGTTTCAGTTCCTGGAGCCTCCCACTGACCAGTTTCTCCAGATTCCTGAGCCCAGGCCAACAAAGGCACTTTAAGTCCCCAGCCCTGGGCCCCTGAGTCACCCAGTCTCAGAGGAAACTACCATCTCCTCTGCCCCCAGGGTCCCTGCCGAGGTCAGCAGGGAGACAGACACTGAGTCACAGCCAGGGGTACCTGGACATGCCTGGGGTGTGGCGCAGCCAGGCTGTTGGGAGGGTCCCCACATTTCAACCAGGCCAAGTGAGTGGACAGGGGTGGTGACCCTCAGGGGGAAGGTCTGAGGATGAAGTCCTGTGAATGCCAGAGAGCAGCCCCACCCTGATACTGCTGTTTCGTCCTTATCACCTTTCTTGCTGGCCTGATCGCTGCCGTTTTGATTCTCATCATCCATGCATTCATCTCAGCAGAGGTCTTGGCATTGTTCTAATGAGGTCCAGTTTGGGGAAGGAAGAGCTGGGGGGCCAGGACTCCTGGGTCCATCACGTGCTCTCCCACCCCCACCAAACTCCCAGCCCTGCCTGAGGATGGGGCCTCAGAGGTGATGCCCTTTGAGCCAAAGAGGGAGGAAGACTACCCCTGCCACAGAAGTTTTGGCCAGTTCCTGCTGGAGCAGAGCCTGCTTGGCCAGAACTGGATTGGGGGGTCACCAAGAGCAAGCTATGCAGATAAAGCCAGGATGGGTACAAAGTCCCATGAGACTTCAAAGGAAGCAGAGAACTCAGGGTGGAGGTGGGTGCCAGAGAGGGGTGCTGTATTCTGGCATTACACTGCAAAGGGCACTGATGGGCCTCTGGGCTTGTGCAAGGTAGCAGGACTGGGTGAAGGAGGACATTCAGGGAGAAGGAGCAGCTCGGGCCAAGGCAAGACGGTGGGGAGACACAGCTGGTTCTCAATGGAGGACTCCCAGCTGTGGGGACTGGGGTAGTGGGGGAGGAGCCCAAGTGAAAGGACCAGAAATGTCTGCCTGGAGCATCACCAGGCATGCAGGGATGAGCAAGGGCATTGGATGCCAGGCGGAGACATGTCTGCACACCTTACAGAGGTGTCCCTGAAAATTGGAGGGTGAAAGCAGGGCAGGGTGTCGAGGATTGGGAAGAGTCTGGTTGGGAGGCAGGGAGCTCCAGGGCCTAGAGGGAAGGGTCGTTGTGGGGAGAGAGTGGCTGGGGCCTATCCAGTCTGGATCAAGGGAACCCCTGACCCTCCACATGGCCACTGTGTCCCTTCCCCACTCTGCTGGGGGGTTCCTCGGGTGCCAGGGCTCCAAACCCCCTGAGCCCCCAGCATTGTCAGCACCCCATCTGACACCTTGTGCTGTGTGTCCAGTTCCAGTAGAGACCTGGCCCTTGAACTTCCTAGGGAGAATCAGCCAGCAAGCAGGATTTAGGTTGAAGCCACCTGTGAGCCCTGGGCACACAGGAGGCATTGGGTTGCGGGTGCTGACTGCCTGGTGGACCACAGGGCTGGCTGGGACCGTGCGCTGTGGTGGGGAAGTTGGGGTCTTGTACTGTGGTTGAATGTAAACACATCTGGGGGCCTGGAGGACAGAAGTAATGCCTGATTCACCCTCAGAGCTCTGCATAGGGGTGGCACTGCTCAATTCATGGGCAAGGCGCTCCGCAGCAGGAGGCATCTGGTTCCGGCTACCCTCCCCCGCCCCCCATCCCCACAGGCCCACACACACCAAGGCAAACAGATGGTTTCTGTCATGACCACGCCTCCCTGGGGTTTTCCTTGCAGGGCTCTGAGGAACAGCACACACAGGCCTTCAGGCTCAACAATAGAGATAAGGTCGCTTGGAGATGAACGGTAAGAACTTTCCTGCAATGAGCTCATCACAGACCCCCATCAGTAGGCAGGCCAGGGACTCTTGTTGCCTTTGCACAAATGGGTAAACTGAGGCTCAGAGGGGCTGGGGGCTTGCCCAGGACCAGGTGGGCATTCCATTGTCAGAGCCTCTTAACACAGGGTCCCTTACCTGTTGTCCAGCCCTTCAGCAAGCTTTCTGTGTACAGAAGTAAATTGGCCAGATGGACAGGACCCACCTCCCACCCCCAGGCCCGCCAACTTCCTGCTCGTGTTCTCTTGGGACACAGCCAACTGGCCCTGGGAGTAGGGGAGGAGGAACACATGTAACTTTCCACCTGTGGTCCAAAAGAAGTGACTAACGAGCTGTCTTTCCCTGCCTGGCTCAGCCACGCACATCGGAGGCAGGGGAGGGGCTGAGGGCTAGGAAGAGGACAGGTGCAGGAGGGGCCCCTGTAAAGGGCAGGCCCTGAGCAGGGAAGGTCGGCAGGGAGCCCAGGTGGAGCTGGGGGCACAGGTGTGCAGGAGGAGCAGGACAGATGTCCTGGGGGAGCCGTGAGCAGTTCTGCACATGAGTAGAGCTGGAGAGAGATTTGATACCTGATTTATGCCAGGAAACACTGGCTGGGTCCCCCCACCTGCTGCAGAAAAACACCAGCAAACCAGTACGCTTCCCCTGCACCCAGGCTGGCTCCCTGAGCCTGGCCCTCCCAATAGCTTAGGCAAACTTTTACCGTGACACCTGATAATGTGTCTGTCATTCATCACCTTTGCTTTGGGACAAGGAGGGCAGGGCTGGCATTTACTTCTTTTCCCTTCTCCCAACTACACTGTGTAATTTTATGCCAATAGAATTGTATCATAGTGCTGGTTTTTATCAAGGGTAGCCCACTCCCCCACCAGATCCCTTCACCCATCCCTGCCCACCCAAAACCATCTTGCCAGCCCTATGGCCCCAGGAAAGCCTGATAAATTGGAGCCTCAGCTGACAACCTTTTCTGTCAAATGAGGACATGACTGCCCTTCCCCTACTGAAGACAGGCTTAAAGTGGGATGAGATGTGGAAAATGCCTGGTGAGCTGAAAACTTTAGTACCAAAGCTAGCAATTTTAGTGTCCATAAGCCTTCTCTGTGAAGACACAGAGATAAAGCTGGGATGGTGCAAAGTCCCATGAGACCTGCCATCTTGCCACCTGGGACCTCAGGAAGCCTGTGCTATCTTTGAGTTTCCAACTTCCCTTTCTGTCACATGAGGACATGCTGCCTCCCCCTAAGATGGGTGTAACAAGATAAAGATATGGAAATGCTTCATGAGCTGAAAAATTTAGTAACATGAGGAGGAAGGAACTTAGCCCAAGACATGAAAAGGCCACCCCTCAGCTTTGGTGCCACTGAGCTAGGCAGGAGCTAGGACTTCTCAGACTCCTGGTCCCCAGTCCCCCAGGGACTTAGCCAAGACCTCAGTTACAACAAAACACAAAACAGGCACACACACCATGCCGCTCCCTGGGCATCCCGCTAGCGAAGGGGCCGATTAAGTCTCCCATCCAAACCTGGGCCACCTGCTGCCTTCTGAGCCCAGGCCCTGTGCCCTTCTAGGGACTGTGCCTGGCCTGCTGGACCCTGTCAGGGTGGTCAGAAGAGTCTCCAGGGGCCAAGCATACCCAGTCCCTGGACTTCCACTCCCTTATCCTCAGGAAACAAAAAGAGAAAGCCAGGCAAGCCAGTGCCAACTCAGAATTACTCCTCTCCACCAAACATGATGTTGTGACCCTTATAAAATCAAGCAGATTTTTGGGAGTGTCCTCACTCTTAGTTCAAAATATCCGTTTAACTGAAGTTAGTTCAAAACTATACAAACTTTCAGGAGTTCACTAACTTCTCAGCTCACAGACCCAAGTTAAGGTCCTGTTCCTTATTGACCAGGGAAAATTCCATTAAGCTATAAAATGTTTAAATTTCAGTAAATAGTCTAGAATGGGATGTCACAATCCTCGATGAGTATAAAGATTGTATCACCAGTTCACTTCAGAGCCATCTCCTTGGATTGTTCCAGGAGGAGGATCTCATGGAGGCTTATAGCAAACAGGCAGGTACTTCCAGACCCAGGCCGGTGTGCACTGGCCACCTCCCGACAGCTCTGGCAGCTATGGAGGTTTCCTCAGGGTGGACCCAGTGCCAGCTGGAGGGCTGGGCCCTGACCTGGGACTTTCAGAATCTGGAGGGGCACATGGGGGCCCCTTTGTGGCTTTTATCTAAAATAGCCCCAGCCCTCCCTGGGTTGAGTCCCTGCGCTGCCACCACCAGTTCTGTGACATTAGGCAATAGAATTAAACCCTCTCAACCAATTTCCTCATCTGGGTAAGGAGGATGCCAACACCTCCTTCCCTGATGCTGGGAGGCAAAGATGTGGAGTCAGGGTCCTGGTAGCTGGGCCTACTCAGCCGAGATTCCTCTGCTGCCCTGCAGAGATCCAGGCAGCCCAGCATCAGCCCTGGAAAGCCACGGGCACCAGGCTCAGAAGTGGAAGCCTGACTCCAGGCTGAGCAAGTAGTCCCTGGCCGTGGGCCAGGCAGCCCGCACCAGAGGCCGCTCTCCCCACTTGGCTCAGGATGGGGTAATGACAGGCCTGGTTGCACCGCAGGCCTGACTACCCAGCCTGGCCAGACTGGCTGAGCCAGTGAGGCCCCAGGCTGGGCCCTACATGGGCTGAGTGAAAAAGTGGGGGTGGGGGTGGCATCACCAAGGAAGAGAAGCAGCAGCTGGCTGCAGCCCCACTACCCTGGCACAAAGGGCACCGCTGGGGACAAGATGGAGGGACAGGGACAGGTCAGAGGGAGGGAGGGGCTGAGTGAGGGGATGGGGGCTCCCTACATGGGCTGGGTTAAAGAGAGGGGCTCAGATGGGGGAAAGGGGAGGAGGCAAAGAAGATGGCACTGAGTGAGCTTTTAACTACTTTCCATTAAATTAGCTCATCCAGTTCCAGCTTGTTTGGCAGTTCCAGAAAGCGCCATATGTCTACATGACCTTGGCCATCCTCACCACCCCATCCAGTTGTCCAACCCTTCACAGGCCACTCCCCTACTTCTCTGAGAGGGACATCCCCTGGCCCGCAGAGGCCTCCTTCCCACCCACC